GGGGGGGGAGGACAGTCTTTCTGTAAAACTACAACTCCCAGGAGCCCTTGCCACTGCCACAAAGAAGGTCGCCCCAAGGTCACACGGAAGACAGATTTTCCGTGGCCGCAGGCATCTCTCGCTGGGCCAGAACTCGTAGTTCCCTGTCTCTTCCAGCACGGCCCTCTCTAATTGGTGGGCCGGAGGTTTCCAAGGTAACACCACAGTAGGGCGTGTCTTAGGTGGGAAACGTAACCCAGAAGTGACGCTCTTACCTCGCGCCAGCAGGAGAGGCTTCGAAGATGGCGGCCCGCAGGGGTCCGCAGAGCACGTGTTCTGCTGGGGAGCCCATGGAAACCGAATCCCGCGACACAGATTCCGAGGGCCCAGCCCAGGTCTACCTACCCGGCCGGGGGCCGCCACTGCGCGAAGGGGAGGAGCTGGTTATGGACGAGGAGGCCTATGTGCTCTACCACCGTGCGCAGACTGGTAGGCTTGAGAGCCGGGACTCCTGGATTCTTAGGAAGGAGACTGGTGCTAAGCTTTTAACTTAAAAGGTGCCCAGGAAAAGGAGGCTGAGGTCTTAGAGAGGTGATGTCACACTTCAGCAGCTGGTTTCTGAGGGAGGTGGAGATGGAGATCGCTCTGTGGCATCCTCAGTTCCCGGCCCCACCTTCTATCCCCAGGCGCCCCCTGTCTTAGCTTCGATATAGTCCGAGATCACCTGGGAGACAACAGGACAGACCTTCCTCTTACACTTTACCTGTGTGCGGGGACCCAAGCGGAGAGCGCCCAGAGCAACAGGTGAGACCCAAGGCATTCCCAGGACCAGAGGTCTGAGCCTCTAAAATCCACCCCCATTCTCAGGACCCAGGAATTAGGGCTTCCAGTTTCTGCCTCACCCCACCCAAAAATCTGGGTTTCCAGCCTCCCTCCTCGCTAAGCTTCTTGGCATCCACTGCCCAACTTACCCAACACTTTCCCCCAGACTGATGATGCTTCGGATGCACAATTTACACGGGACCAAGTCCCCACCCTCAGAGGGTAGTGATGAGGAGGAGGAGGAGGAAGATGAAGAGGATGAAGAAGAGCGGAAGCCTCAGCTGGAGCTGGCCATGGTCCCCCACTATGGTGGCATCAACCGGGTTCGGGTAAGCTATAATCCTAGTGGCCCTTCATTCTCTGGAGTTTGCTTCCCTACCCAACCCCATGCTCATAACTCTCCTAGCACTTCCTTGTGCCCTTCAGCTTTTGGCAAAGTACTTGGCACATAGTTTCGTCTATCAGGCATTTTGGTAATTACTGTTTTACACTATGGTGGCATTTTTTATGGTCTTTACTTTTTTTGCTAGATAAAATGGTGAGAATTATAACATTTACCAGATAGGACTGATGTGAGGCTAAAATGAACCATGTAGCGTCTTGGTTGTAATGTGAGACGTGCTTTTTTGCAAAATTATTACTCAGGAAGTATATTAGGCTATAGAGGTTTTATTTTGGGTTTTTGCTTCAGAGGCAAAACATCTGATTAGGTAGACGTGCATATAAGATGACAGGATATACAAAGGTCACTTAGAGCAAGGTTTGATCCATAGCTAGTCCTGTGTTTCCATTAGAATGCTAGCAGCATGTCTCAGGTACTCTCTAAGCCCCAAGGATTTAGCTGCAGGCTAAGTGAATTAAATAAAGCAGTCTGGCTCTGTAGAGAAGATATATGCTAGTGGAGAGGGAATAAGAAGCAGCTAAGTAAATGTATAGTATATCAAAATGAGAGGGCTGGGGATTTAGCTCAGTGGTTCCCGCACCTGCCTCGCAAGTGTAAGGTACTGAGTTCAATCCCTGGTACCAAAAATGGGAAAAATTAAAATGAGACAGGTTAAGTTTCTTCTCTCTTTTTTTTTTTTTTTAATGAGGCAGGATCTCACCATGTAGTTCAGGTTGGGTTTAATTGTATTTTGTTACTGTTGTTTCCGGTACCGGGGATCAAACTCAGGACCTTGCACTTTCGAGGCAGGTCCAGCACCACTGAGCTAGATCCCCAGTCTCCCGGGTTAGCTTTGAATTTACTATGTAGCCCAGGCTGGTCTCGAACTCATGATGATCTTCCTGCCTCAGCTTCCCCAGTGCTGGGATTTCAGGCATGCACCACCACCCTGGTTTGAGAAGGTGCCCTTTGAACAGAGACCCACAGGAAGTGAAGGAGTGTGCCAAGAATATCTGTGGGTACAAATTTGCAAGGAAGGAAAATACAGGTGCAGAGGCCTTGGGTTGAACTTGATATATTTGAATTTTGAGGGAAGGTGGGAAACTAGTGTGCCTGGAGCAAAATGAGAGGACGAAAGTGGTAAGATTTAGAGTGGGCACAGAAGAGACAGAGTATAAGGCCATGTAGGCCACTGAAGAGACTTGGACTTATTGGGGACAAATTGAGGCCTACTACAGGGTTTAGAGCACAGGAAAGACAGGATCTGGCATTTGATTTAAAGAGATCCTTCTTGCCTGGTGTGGTTGCACACACTTGTAATCCCAGCATTCAGGAGGCTGAGGCAGGAGGATCATGAGTTTGAGGCCAGCATGGGCTGTTGAGTCAGTTCAAGGCTAACCTGAATACATATCAAGACGCTGACTCCAAAGAAAATAAAATCCAAACAAAAAAGGTCACTCTTGTTGCTGTGTAGCGAATCAGCCGACTGTTATAATGATTCAGGGTGGCGTGAGTGACAGTACTAGAGGTAGCCAAGAGGGTTAGAGGTGTGTTTTGGGGTTGTTTTTTTGTGCTGCTGGCGATAGAAACCAGGCCATTGCAGTGCAGTGCATGTGCTAGGCAAGTACTTTGCCTTTGAGGAACATCCCCAGTCCCCTCCCCCTTTTTATTTTTTTGAAACATGGTCTCACTAAGTTGCTCAGGTTGGTGTCAAACTTGGGATCCTCCTGCTTCAGCCTCCCAAGTGGCTAGAATCACAGGCAAGCACTGCTGCACCCAGCTGGAAATGTGGGTTTTTTTAGAGTAGCCAGCATAGATTTTTGGGTGTGAGGAAGAAGCAGCTATCGGGAAGGATGTTTGGGGCTGAGGTAGAGAATACTCTGGGGAAGGAGGCTGCAGTGAGCGGTAGGAGAAAGGTTGGGCTGGCGGTACTGAAGGCCTTGCCTGGATAGGATCTCCCAGGGAACAAACGTAACAAAGCCAGCAGATCTGAGGGCTGAGCCCAAGACCCTTCCGCAACAGCTGCGAAGACCAGAAATCAACACACTCCCAAGGGCTAGCAGGACTTGTGGTCTCCCTTTGCAGGCATCTTGAAGCTTTGTCCTCCCACCCACACTGCCTGCCTCCCTCAGTGTGGGGAGTTGACCAGTTAGCAGCTGGTCTTACAGGTTGGGATTTCTGGCCCACAAAGATTTCTGGGAGCTTTGGCCCAGCCCTGGGTATCCAAGAACCTACCCAGAGTCCCCTCTCCCTCTGTCTTACGCACCCCTCTCCTGCAGGTGTCCTGGCTGGGCGAGGAGCCTGTTGTGGCTGTGTGGTCGGAGAAAGGCCAGGTGGAGGTGTTCACATTGCGGAGGCTCCTGCAGGTGGTGGACGACCCCCAGGCCCTGGCCATCTTCCTCCGGGATGAGCAGGCCCGAGTGAAGCCCATCTTCACCTTTGCTGGCCACATGGGTGAGGGCTTTGCCCTTGACTGGTCCCCTCGGGTGCCAGGTGAGTCCCTGGGCTCTGCCCATGGTTCGGGGAAGCGGGATAGAGCAGGACACCCCAGGTGAGAGTTGAGCTGTAGTCAGATCGGGTGGGGTCGCTTAACTCCTTTCCCAGGCCGCCTGCTGACCGGTGACTGCCAGAAGAACATCCATCTCTGGACGCCTACCGACGGTGGCTCATGGCATGTGGACCAGCGGCCATTTGTGGGCCACACACGCTCTGTGGAGGACCTGCAGTGGTCCCCAACTGAGGACACGGTGAGGGAGGACCGGGTTGATGGGACACGCCTAGGGACCTCGAATGCTGGGTCTCCAGTGGGGAGCCACTGAACTGGGGGCCTCATGGTGACTTGGTTTGCAGTCCTGGTGTAGGTCTGGGGGACCCTGGGGAAAGGGCAGCTTCCCACCAGTCCCTGGCCCTAGCGTGAGGTGGGGACATCCGAGCACTCAGACTCCGGCCTTGTCCAGGTATTCGCCTCTTGCTCAGCTGACGCCTCCATTCGCATATGGGACATCCGGGCGGCCCCTGGTAAGGCCTGCATGCTTACCACGGCCACCGCCCACCATGGGGACGTCAATGTCATCAGCTGGAGCCGCCAGGAGCCCTTCCTGCTCAGTGGTGGGGATGATGGGGTCCTCAAGGTCTGGGACCTGCGACAGTTCAAGGTATTTCCCAGCAGCCACTGAGATCTGCAGGCTTCTTTCTGCTTCTGTGATTTTACCCAACCAGAGCTGGGAAGGCCCTGGAACTAAAACCCAGCCCCTTCCTGAGGCTCAGGAAGCGGAGGCTATGAGAGCAGTGTTCGGTCCCTCGCTCCACCCTGTGAGTGGCTGATAAGCAGTGGAGAGGCTCAGGGCAGCAGAGACTGCAACTCCCATCGTCCTATGGGGCAGAGGTGCAGCTGACTGTACAGCCCATGGCTCAGGGGCTTCTGGGAAGTGTAGTTTGTGTTTGAGTGACTTTTATAGCATCAGCTAAGAATTGGAGACTAGTTCACTCACTGCAGAGGAGAAACTGGGACCCAGAAAGGGCGGGAACACCCAGTGGCACATGCCAGTAACCCCAGCACTGGGAGGCTTGAGAGAGGAAGATAGCAAGTTTGAATCCAGCCTGGGCAACATAGTGACTTAGTGAGACCCTGTCTCAAAATGATTTTCAAAGGGCTGGGATGTAGCTCAGTATGAAGGCCCTGGGCTCAATCCATAATATTAAGGGAGCAGGGGGAGAGCGGGCCGGTGAGCGCTGAGAGAGTCCCCCTCCTTTACTGGAGGGAACCCAGGGTCCTGGCGGGGCGGAGCTCCTGTGGCCTGGAGCTGCTGAGGGCTTTGCAGGTGGAACCCCAGCCCCCACCAGCTGTGCTCTGTCCTGGGTCCCTCCTGTGGGCTTGGGGCTCCTGGGCTGTAGGGGGAGGCCCTGGGTGAAGCCTGAGGCTGCCCCAGGTGGGGCGTTTGCAGTCCCTGCCACACCCTCTCCACCCACAGTCTGGCTCCCCTGCGGCCACCTTCAAGCAACACGTGGCGCCCGTGACCTCCGTCGAGTGGCACCCACAGGACAGCGGGGTCTTTGCAGCCTCGGGTGCAGACAACCAGATCACGCAGTGGGACCTGGCTGTGGAGCGGGACCCCGAGGCAGGCAAGCTGGAGGCCGACCCAGGGCTGGCAGAGCTGCCCCAGCAGCTGCTGTTTGTCCACCAGGGCGAGACAGACCTGAAGGAGCTGCACTGGCACCCGCAGTGCCCCGGCCTCCTGGTCAGCACCGCCCTGTCGGGCTTCACCATCTTCCGCACCATCAGCGTCTGAGGCGGACTTGTGCTGTGGAACTGGTGAGGTGCGTTCAGGCCGGTTGACTGGAGCCCCAGAAGGGGCTGAGTTCAGCTGTGAGCAGAAGCCGTGGATTCTGTGAGCCTTGTGTTCTCTCAGAGGACTTAGTCTGACCCATGGTCTATGAACCCACTTGTACCAAAGACCCTCACCTGGCAGAGGACTTCACTGGCCATTTTATCTGGTTTTTGTCAGCTTTGGTTCCTGGCTTGACCCTTCAACCTCTGCCTGGGATCCAGATTTGGCTGCTGCCTTCCCCAGGGACTCTTGGGGAGTCTGGACCACATTTCTCGCTCAGGGGGGTCCTCCCACCACCTAAGCTTGGCCATGATTTCCCAGTACCCGCGCCCCCCCATTGGGAATCAAACTCAGGACCTTTGCTTGCAAGGCAAGTGAGGTGCCACTGAGCTACATCCCTGGCCCTCCCAGTGCTTTCTTGGAGCAGAAAGCCAGGGCTCCTGACTGGCAATAAAGGACCAGAACAAGACCTAAAGTGTGTGTGTGGCTTGGTCCTTCCAGCCTATCCCTGTGCGGACACCAAGGGGGGCGACTGGAAGTCGCCTAGGGGTCCTTAGGCTGCCAGGCTTCAGTAGGCTGACCCTCAGCCCACTGGGTGCCATTCCCTCTGTCTCACCTCGTTTTTATTCTGGAGCTCACTGTGGGTCAGTGAAAGGATGTGTCTCATCTTATGCCCCCCAACTTACTAAGGTGACCAGGGAGCCCCCCATCTCTGTCGCCTAAACTGTTGCTACTGCGTGTCCCCATCTTGCTCTGGCGCCTGCACCCCGCCCCCTACCTGCTCTCTGCCGGGCTGCTCCAGCCTCCTGGGCTGTGGCCCAGCGCCTTGCCTGGCTGGCTTCTCTGGCTCCCCCTCTGCGGCTGTGCCGCCCCACCCCCGCCCCTCCGTGCTCCCAGCTCTGATCTGCTGTGGGCTCAGAGGTCTGTCCTGGCTCAAGGCCCTAGGGTCCGAGGACCAACCGCAGCACCCCAGAGGCCTCCCCACAGCCCAAGCAGAGGAGCCCTCAGCACAGGCCATGGGGATGGGCCACCCCCCCAGGTATGTGTCCCATAAGAGAGCCAAGCCCCGGAGCCAGCCCACCCTCCTGCCTGGCCATCCTCGGTGCTAGCTCCTGCCCCAGAAACCCGCTCCCCCGGATCTGGGGCTCCCCACCCAGACCCATCCTGGTTTCCACTTTTCCTCACTCCCATCCATGGGCAGCCCCTCCACACCCATCTCTCTCAAGTTCTTCCCCTCTCTGAGCATCAGCTCCATCTCTTCCCTGACTGCTCCTAGTCTGCCTGACTCTTCTCTGTCCCTGTCCCCTGTCACCCCCCCGCTTTGGTCTCCTGTTCCCTTGCTGGGATCTACCCTCTCTTGGAGGGTCTTCTCACTGCCCCTGGTCCTGCTGCATCTGAATCTCTCTTCGTAGACTTCCTATGCCTCCCTGTCCTGCTGTCCAGACCCCACAGGTTGGGGGCAGTGGGGGGACACCCTTGGTTTTGGGGGGAGACTGGAGTGAGTGTTAATTTAGGGGGAAGGAGGCCTGAGGGCGGGGCTTCTTGGCCCCAGATTAGACAGTGACTTGAACACAAGTGGAAGCACCTTAAGCCCCACGGCTCCTTTATATGGAAACATTAAGCTGCTCTTGCAGGTCAGGTGGAGGGGGGACCTCGGGCTTGGGATCCTTTCCTTCCCCTCCTGCCTTGGTGGGAGACAAGGTGGGGGTGTCCCGAGCTCCAGTCCCTTCGCCATCCTGGGAGCTGGACAATGTTGGGTGCAGACAGGGCCCCCTGGAGGTGAAGATTCCCGAGGGTCTGGGTTAGACATCTGCCTCACAGCGAGGTGGCATCCAGGATCGAGGAGGCAGAGTCCTGGGTGGGAAAAGCTCCAGGCCCATGCCAGCTTCCCGGCGCAGCACCGTGTGGGCCCGGCCAACCTGCCTCCTGCCCAACATGTGGTCATCTTGAGCGCTTAGGTGAGCCAGGGGTCTGGTGGCCCAGTGGGCAGGACCTGGCACGGGGCAGGTGCTTGGGACACTGACCAGTGCTGGGGCAAGGTCTTAGCCCCTCCCTGGCTGAGACTCAATTGCTCTCCTGAGAGTGGGGAAGGGTTTGCATAGAGGTGAGGGGTGAGGGGCTGCGGCTGTGCCCATGCCAGTTCCTGCCCACCCCTCCCCACAGGGGGTCTGCTGCCGGGAAGGGGCTGCAAGCACAGAGGTGGCATCCTGGACTGGACTGCAAACTAGCCCCTCTGCGTGACATCCTGCTCCCCTCCCCAGGGTGACCTCTAACATTCAGGGCTGTGGTGCTGAAGGGGGGAAAGAGTCCCTGCGAGGGCACTGCCCCAGCCTCAGCTTTGCATCTGTCAGGTGGGCCTGGCAAGTGTCCACACAGCAGGGCTGTCCAGGTGGTGCTGGTCCAGCAGGCACACAGTACAGCAGAGAAGAGCTTGGTGGAAATTATTTAACCCCTGACAGCCCTTAGCCCATTCCCGGAAGTCGCCCACCTAAGGGTGGGGGCTGCAGGATTCCCTCCACTTCCTAGACCTCAGAAAGGGGTGGGACCTGCCATCCCTCACCAGCCCTGAGAATGGCCAAGCTGGAAGTCAACCTAGAGGCACAAATGCCGAGGCCTTCTGGGTCCCCTTCCTTTTCAGTTGGGGAGTTATCACCATTCCACAGACGAGCAAACCGAGGCTCTGGGAAAGGGAGCCAGGAGTAGCCGGGCACACGGCCGGGATTCGGCCCCATCTCTAGGATAGGAGGATGCTTCCTGACTTTATCGATATCCCTATCTTTGCATCTGGTGAAACAGGTTCAGAAAGAGGTGCCCCACTGCCTGGCGAGTGCAAGGTCCTGAGTTCAATTCCCAGTACCAAACAAAAAAAGAGGTGCCCCAGGTCAGAGGGTCAAGCTGACCCTATTTATTTGGTTACAGCTTAATGGAATATAATTCACGTGCCATCCCATCTGGCCATCAAAGTGGACAGTGGTTTTTACTATATTTACAGTTGTGCGGATGCAACCCTGATTAATTTTAGAACATTTTCCTCACCCCAAAAAGAAACCCCTCATTCTTTGGTTATCATTCCCCAACTTCCCCCATTTCCCCAGGCTGAGGCAACTGTGGGTCTGCTTTTATTTCCATCCCCAGTACTGGGGATTGAACCCAGAGCTGTGTGCACGGGAGGCCACGCTCTACCACCAAGCTGCACCCCCACCCCCACATGGTCTTTTGAGACTGTTTTGTCACTTAGGATAATATTTTCAAGGTTTCCATATTGTTACATCAATTAGTACTTCATTTGTTTTTACTGCCAAATAGTATTCTTTGAAGGAACACATCACATTATATGTATCTATTCATCATCAGGTGATAGATCCTTAGTTGTTTCTCTCTCTTTTATTTTCTCTTCAGTGCTGGGGAGTTGAACCCAGTGTGTTTGCCTTGAGTTACATCCCCAGACCTTTTTAATTTTTTTTCAGACAGGATCTCTCTATGTTGCTAAATTGCCCAGGCTGGGCTGTAACTCATAGTCCTCCTGCCTCAGCCTCCCAGAGAGCTGGGATTGCAGGCTGGCACCGCCACACCTGGCTTGCTTCTAGGGTACTATTATGCTGCTATGAACATCTGCATTCAAGTTTTTTGGGTTTTTTTGGTACCAGGGATCGAACTCGGGACCTTGCGCTTGCAAGGCAGGTGGCAGAACCACTGAGCTAAATCCCCAACCCTGCATACAAGCTTTTGTGTGGACCTTTGTTTTCATTTTTCTTGGATAGCTAGATAGTGAGGTACAGGTAGATACCTAGGAGGGAAATGGCTGGGCAAGGGGTAACTCTGTAGCCACTAAAGGACCTGCCAGACTGGACTCTGCAGCAGCTGCTCCCTGTCCCATTCACAGAGCAGTTCGGGACAGGCTGATTTCTCCACTCTCAGCAACCCTTGTTGATTTTCTCTTAGCCGTCTGAGGTGGGTGTGTGGTGGTATCTCTGGGTGGGGGTGGGGAGGAAGTTCTATTTGTTTATTAATTGGTGGGGACAGTTGAACCCAAGGCCTCAAAAATGCTAAGCACACACTTTACCACTGAATCACAGTGCCAGCCTCATTGTGGTTTTGAGTTGCATTTCTCACTGGCTAATCCTGTTGTTACTATTTTTTACTTTTTTTTTTTTTTTTGCTTTTCACATGCAAATTGGCCATTTGTATATCTCCCTTGGAGATGTATCTATACAGACCCTTTGCCTACTCTTTGTTTTGTTTTGGTTTTGGTTTTTTTGCAACAGGGTCTCACTATCTAGTTCAGGCTGGCCTTGAATTCACTATGCAGCCCAGGCTGGCCTCATGGCAAACCTCCTGCCTCAGCTTCCTGAGTGCTGGGCTTACAGATGTGGGCCACCTTGCCTGGCCCTTCACCTACTTTTACATTGGGTAATTTGTCTTTAGCATTGAGTCTCAAAGCTCTTTATATATTTAGAGCAGATACATGATTTGCCATTATTTTCTCCCCTTTGGCGGATGTTTGAATTTTTTTTTTTTGGTACCGGGGATTGAACTGGGGACCTTGCACTTTCGAGGCAGGCACTGCAGCCACTGAGCTAAATCCCTGGCCCTTTGAATTTTTGATAGTGCTTTTTTTTTTTTTTTTTTTTGAGTCAGGGTCTCTCCCTTTGTAGTTCAGGCTGGCCCTGAACTCACTATGTAGCCTAGGCTGGCCTCAACTCAGTGATCCTCCTGCCTCAGCCTCGCGAGTGCTGGGATTACAGGCACGCACCACCACGCCCGGCAGTGCCTTTTGAAGCACACAAATTTTCAATTTTGACCAAGTTCAATTTATCTATTTTTCCATTTGTTGCTTACACTTTCTGAGCCAGCTTTTGAACCACAGCTGGCCTCAGACCCAGCTCATCTCTGTGGAGAAGCAGTTACAACTTAGCTATTATCAGCATGGTCTGTTAGCATTTAAATCCCAGCTTTCTTGGCTGTGATTTTGGGCAGGTAATTTAAACTTCCTAAGCTTCAGTTTCCTCATCTGTAAAATGGAAGCAATAATGTATACCTCAAAAGCTTTGTCCTAAGGCTCAAACAGGCAAATTTATGTAACGTCCGTCAGCAGTGTCTAAACCATACCACACTTACTTATCTGCCTATTTATTTAGTTAATACAGTTCTGGGGACTGAATCCAGGGCCTTTGCCTGAGCTATATCGCCAGCCCTTCTTTACTTTTTATTTTGAGCCAGAGTTTTGCTAAGTCACTAAGTTGTCCAGGCTGGGCTCGAGTTTGGGATTCTCCTGCCTCTGGTTCCCAGAGCATACCTGAGTGTGTACCACCACAACTGGCTTGTTACATAAATTCAGACTGAACAAAATGTCTGCTATAATAATCGTGTTGGCTGCTTCAACCCCATCATGGCTTCAGCACTGTTCTGCTACTGCTCTGCATGGGTTCCCTGAGGCATTACTGTGTCTCCCTCCCGGCCCAGCCCTACTCTTCAAGCTCGGATGGTGGGGCTCCTTCTACCCATTTGCCCGATGAGGCCACAGATGCCCAGCGAAGAGCGCAGCATGCCTGGCCCAAGAGCGCACCAAATCCTGGCTCCCCTGACTCTTGTCCCTTTCTCCTCCCGCAGGATCAGGGCGCCCACCCCCCACTAGGCGGAGTGGAGGGGGTCCCTCCACCCAATGGGCCTGGCCAGGGCCCTGCGCCGCCTGAGCGGCGCCCTGGAGCCAGGGGACAGCCGGGCGGGCGGCGAGGAGGAGGCGGGGCCGGGGCTGTGCCGCAACGGGTGGGCGCCTGCACAGGGCCCGGGCACGCGGCGGTGCGGGCGCCTCGTGAAGAAGGACGGGCACTGCAACGTGCGCTTCGTGAATCTGGGCGGTCAGGGCGCGCGCTACCTCAGCGACCTGTTCACCACGTGCGTGGACGTGCGCTGGCGCTGGATGTGCCTGCTCTTTTCCTGCTCCTTCCTCGCCTCCTGGCTGCTCTTCGGCCTGGCCTTCTGGCTCATCGCCTCGCTGCACGGCGACCTGGCCGCGCCACCGCCGCCCGCGCCCTGCTTTTCGCACGTGGCCAGCTTCCTGGCCGCCTTCCTCTTCGCGCTCGAGACGCAGACGTCCATCGGCTATGGCGTGCGCAGCGTCACCGAGGAGTGTCCAGCCGCCGTGGCCGCCGTCGTGCTGCAGTGCATCGCGGGCTGCGTGCTCGACGCCTTCGTCGTGGGTGCTGTCATGGCCAAGATGGCCAAGCCCAAGAAGCGCAACGAGACCCTGGTCTTCAGCGAGAACGCCGTGGTGGCGCTGCGCGACCGCCGCCTCTGCCTCATGTGGCGCGTGGGCAACCTGCGGCGCAGCCACCTGGTGGAGGCCCACGTGCGGGCCCAGCTGCTGCAGGTGTGGCGGGAAGGGAGGGACCCTTTGGTAGCCCCCAGATGGACCTGTGCCCGCTCTTCCCGGGGGCCGGGACTTGAGGTGTAACGAGCTCCCGGTGTCTTGTGGGTACTGTAGACCTTAATGGCCTCCAGCTCCCGGAAGCATGGGGCAGGGAAGTGCCCAGATGGGGTGGTCTGAGGTGGCGTTTTGTGCTTAATGGGACTGTGTGGCCTTTCCACGGCTCAGGTGTACAATTCCCAGCAGACACTGGGGTGCTAGGAGTGGCTTTCCGTCTCAGGCAGGCCCCAGGTGGGCAGCCGCTGGCGCCTGCAGAGCGGCATGACTCAGTTCTCAGGAGTTCTGGGGGATCCTGCCGCATGTGGGGATCACGTCAGTCCCCAGCTGTGGGGCCTGGGCACTCTCACCAGCTGGGAAGCCCTTTTGAATGGTAGCTTCTCAGTGACAAGACAGCTCCCACTTTCACCAGCCCCTGGGGTAGCAGCTTCCTTGGGAGGCCCAAGGGAAGTCCCTTGTGTTCCTAGAATTGCGGTCATGTTGCTCAGACATCCCCATCCTAACAAACTGAGGGACAGCAGCTTCCCTGGCCCAAGTGGAAGAACTCTAGCTTGGGGTCGAACACCTGCAGTTCCAGCACTCTGGAAGGCTGAGGCAAGAGGATTAGAAGTGCAGGCCTGACACCACCACGCCCCCTCAAAGGGAACTTAATGAGAGCCTGTCTCAAAAAAAAATAAAAGGGCTGAGTATGTAGTTCATTGTGAAGGCCCTGGATTCCATCCCCAGTACCGCGAAAGAAAACATAAAAAAGCACAACTCCAGGCTGCGGCTGGACTTGAGGCAAGAGGAGGAAGGAGGAGGGACAGTGGTGCTGGGAACGAGCTCCTAGCAGCTGGGGTTGGAATAGGTGCCCATCCCCTTCCTTGGTCACCTGCCTGGCAGTTTGAGACACCAGGATTCATAACCAGGAGGGGCACTGTCTCTTCCAAGGTCTGTGGGGCAGTGACATGGTGGGAGGTGGGTGTGGACCCCGCACGCACAGGCAAGCGGTGGTTGGGTTGGTGGAGGAAAGCCCAGGGCCAGCCTGAGGCAGGATGGAGTCCAGCAGGCGGACCCTCGGTTATCCTAACTCCCCTTGTTAGCCTGATTTACCTTTCTCTGGCCATGTATTGAAAGCCATTTTTTCTGTCCCTCTTCTCCGGTTCCCCGGCTGGATGTCATCCTTGTCCTCCATGTCTCTGTCGTAACTTCTGTGGCTCTATGCCAATATCACTCTACTTTTCTCTACCTCTTTCTCTTTCTCTCGACCCACCTCCCTTGCTTTCTGTCCTCGAACCCTCTCTCTTTGTCCTTTCCTCTTTACCTCTGGATCTCTTGTCCCCTCATCCATGTTCTTACTCTATCACTCACCCCTGCTGGCCTTGCTTTCTTTTTTCTCTGTGCTCTGTTCCTTCTGTCTTTCCCTCTCTCTGTCCCTCTGTCTCTGTGCTCCTGCCCTCTGCCTTTGGCTCCTGGCCTTTTGCTGCAGCCCCGTGTGACCCCAGAGGGTGAGTACATCCCGCTGGACCACCAGGATGTGGATGTGGGCTTCGATGGAGGCACCGATCGAATCTTCCTTGTGTCTCCCATCACCATCGTGCATAAGATCGACTCTGCCAGTCCTCTGTATGAGCTGGGACGTGCTGAGTTGGCCAGGGCCGACTTTGAGCTTGTGGTCATTCTTGAAGGCATGGTTGAGGCCACGGCCATGACCACACAGTGTCGCTCATCTTACCTCCCTGGAGAGCTGCTCTGGGGCCACCGTTTTGAGCCAGTCCTCTTCCAGCATGGCTCCCAGTATGAGGTGGACTATCGCCACTTCCATCGCACTTACGAGGTCCCAGGGACACCTGTGTGCAGTGCCAAGGAGCTGGATGAACGGGCAGAGCAGGCTGCCCACAGCCCCAAGTCCAGCTTCCCTGGCTCCCTGGCTGCATTTTGTTACGAGAATGAGCTTGCTCTGACCTGCTGCCAGGAGGAAGATGAGGAAGAGGAGACCAAAGAGGGGACTGGGGCAGAGACAGAAGATGGAGCTGCCAGCCCCCAAGTCCTCACACCAACCCTGGCTCTGAGCCTGCTCCCGTGATGCAAACTGATGTCCCCCTTCCCCACTGGGGCCCCTTTCTCAGAAGTAGCAGGATGGAGAGATCATCCCTCTGCTGGGATGGGGCAGGCATTTCCCAAGACCTAACAGGCATACTGGGTCAATCTTCAGGCCTGGTGGACCCACCCTAAACATCCTGGACCTCAAGTTCTCTGCTTCTGTGCTTCCTCCTGACACCGCTTTGCAAGCCTAATTCCTGACTCTTCGCAGAGCTGAGGGATCTAGAATTCTGTACCACCACAGAGGCAAGAGCTGGTTGTTCTAGATTTCTCTACATGGCTGGGCCTGATGGTTGATCAGGGTCAGAGATCAGTGATAGCAGAGGAAGTCAGCAGTTCCTGGACAGCAACAGAGATCAAGTCTGCAGGTCTAGGTTAGCCTAAGATCCAAGGGGCTCTTGCTGGTTGCCTCAGCCAGCTGAGAGGCAAATCATTCATTCAAGACCACTTCAGGAGAGGCTGCGGAACACTCCAAGTATTCAAGACCATCTTGATTAGCCAAAAGCAAACAATTGTGACTGCATGTCAAGAAAAGACCTCATTGTTCCAGAAAGCCCAAGAGTTCAGATTTTGTGAGTCTAGGTGGACCACATAGGCAAACACTGGTGATTCTAGAACAGGCTGACCTAGGGAGCTGAACTACTCCAGAAACTACAGAGTTATGTTTCTAGAATGCACAAAACAGCAAGACCTGGGTTTAGAAGGACAAAACTGACAGATTGAGAGTTCTTGAAATGAAAGAACTTCTGACTGTTGGCTGTAGAACATCCAACCGAGGGGATAAGCACAGCTTCTGAACCATCCACAGCATGGTTTCTGTTTCTATTTGAAATGCCATTCTAGAATGTGCAAAGGAATCAGGATTCTGGGCTCTAGATTGATCAGTGTCAAGGAAGGCATGGTGATTCTAGATGACCTCAACCTGCTGGCTCCAGTTTGCCTAGTGAAGTTGAGAATCTTGATGATCCTAAATGACTTGTGGTTCTGTAATGCCAAAGGGAATCAAGGCTCCAGGGATGCAGAGTTGTCCATTCCCAAAGCCTAGAAGTTCTGATCACCTCTGGATGGACTGCTCAGCAATTCTAAGAAGAGGACACAGGACTTGATGTGTAGCATTTCTGGGCTGACCTAGCAAGTGGTGGCTCAGGTGAGACCTTGTAGGTCACAGGGCTAATTAGTGTGTAAGTGAAGGGGAAGGCCCAAGGCCGGTGTGAGTCTAGAATGTTCTGGAATACTACACCTAGTGACGTGTTTCTGTTTCTTAAAAAAATTATACATATGTTGGGCCGGGGATTTAGCTCAGTGGTTTCACTGCCTGCTGCCCAAGCTCAAGGACCTGAGTTCAATCCCTGGTACCAAAAAAAGGACATGAAAAATATTATACATATGTGTATTATATATATATATATAATATATATATACAGATATCTGTTGTTTCCTCTGATTACTACAGCAAGATTAGAAATTGAACTCAGATTAATTGGAATGGAGTCCTTTTCAAGGATACAGGAAGTGTTGCTCTATGTCACAACTGTCCCAACTCTTCTTGTGTGATTTTGGGCAAATCACTCCCCTCTGTTTGCCTCAGTTTCCCTGTCTGTGAAAACAGGATTTGGGGACTTGAAGTTCTCCAAGGGCATTTGCAGCAGGACAACTGCTCACCTGGTGGAGGGTAGGGTGGGATGCTGGTCCTGGGCACTTCTTGATGCTCCTGGATCACATGGCCTCTCAGGGGCAGCTGGGATGGGAGATGATCTTGAAGGCTGGCTCTGAACTAGAGTTTGTGACTTTCAGGCCAAGCAAGGGGTGGCATGGACTGTGGCTAAGGGTCATTGTCACCACCTTCTGCCCCCTGCTCAGGGGAATGACAGAGGAGGAGGGGGTAGCTCTGAATACTAGGGGTCTTCCCACTGTGTGGATAAGGGGCATTTGAGGGGTGGGTCTCCCCAGATTAAAGACCTGGCCACCCCGGTGGGTGTGTCTGAGTGTGTTTCTGGGGCATGGGTCCTGGGGCCTGGCCTTCATCCATGCTGCCATCCTCTTAAGTGGCTGGCAGGCTGGGAGCCAGCCGCAGAGGGAGCCTGTGCCAGGGGGAGGACGTGTTCCCACCTTGTGTTCCCAGCTGAGGGCAGGCACTGTCACTGGCTGCCGGCCCACCTGAGAGCTGCATCAGCCCAGGTCCCCTCTCCTGGCTCCTTCGTCTCTCTTTATCCTTCAGAATCCCCACGTAATAACCGGATGGGATTAATTAGCTGGCTGCTCTCCCAGCTCAGGGCGTCTGGGGCTGGGACTGGAGACAATGGAAACCCAGTGGTGGGGAGGGGGATTAGGCTGGGGGCAAAGGAGGAGGGGATGGTTCTGTTTGGGAGGAGGTGGGCAGTGTTGGCACAGCCTGGTCTCCTCCACTGGGGAGGGCAGGACCTGGGCCACTCATAAAGGTCAGTGAGGGGATTAGGAGGCTGTGTGTCTAATCCAACAGCTTAACCAGGCCTTGGCCTTGAATCTGTCCTCACCTGTGCAGGCCAGGACGTGCCCATCATGGTCCTGCTCCTTTAAGGGATGACCTGGCTCCCCATGCCAGCCAGGCTCCTGCCCAGTTTGCCCTCCCTGCAAGGAGCCATCAAGAGGCTGGAGAAGGGGAAGGCCCTCGGATATGGACAGGTTTTGAGAGGAGGAAGGAGTTGAAATAGGGCAAGTGTGTGAAGACAGGCTAGATGGAATGCGGGGAAGACAGAAGGTCAGGAATCAGGAAGGAGGGTGCTGAAGGAAGAGTTGTTGTTTTAGGGGGGAGGATCCTGGGGAAGGGAGGGGTCTTAGGATGCTTAATTGGGGGAGGAGTCAAAGAGGCAGAAGGTCCCAGGAAGGCAGAACCCCTGCTTTCACTCTATTTGGCCTTCCCTTAGTGTCCCATTCTCCCTGACGGGTACCAAATAGCATGGCATTGGGAAGAAAGAGTAACTCTTTCATTTCACCACCCTTAGACTGTTTTGTTTTTTTGTTTTTTCGGTACTGGCGTTTGAACTCAGGACCTTGCTCTTGCGAAGCAGGAGTGGCGCCACAGCCCCAACCACCCTTAGACTCTGAAGAGGCTGAGGCAGATGGGAGAACATAGAAGGTATTAAGGAAAGGGTCTGTAGATAGTAGAGGGCTGAGAGGACGTGGAAGGACCCGAAGAAGGAAGGCAAACGGCCTTAGTTGCTCCCGGTTGCATGGCAACCGCCGCGGTCAAAAGCCAGCGTGGCCTACTTAGAGGTGTGGCTACTGGAAACAGCCCCTGGTTGAGGCCACGCCCCGGGCAACAAGCAGCGCAAAGTGCGGCCCCCTAGCAACGCAAGGGGAAGGTGGAGTTCGGTTGACCTCCTCAAGGGCCAGAGCCTTTGCATAGGCGCAGTGTTCTCTGCAACGCATAGCCCCACCTCCTCTTATCTCCTTTCTGAGGCTTCTCATTGGAGGACATGCCTGCCAAGGGCTCTCTATTGTTTCGGAGGCGGAATCTGGCCTCCAGACCGCACACCGATTGGCCCCGCATACCGTCTGCCGCCAGCCCCGGACATTGCTACATCTAACTCTTGGGCGCCTATTGGTTTTGGAGGACGATCCTTTGGTGTCGGGGGCGGAAACGTCGAGAAGGCCCGCTGTGGATTGGACAGTGTCAAAACGAGGGGCGGTCCCTACTGGCTGGGCGGTTGGGCAGTGAGAGCAGAGTCTTTTCAGCGCTGAGGACTGGCGCTGAGGAGGCGGCGGTGGCTCCCGGGGCGTTTGAGCGGGCTCACCCGAGCCCACGGGCCAACGCGGATCCAGGCCCGACCGGCGGGACCGCCCCGGACTCCCCGCGGGCCATCCTAGCCGCCATGGAGGACGGTGTCTATGGTAGGCTAGGGAGAGGCGGGGCCAGCGGCGGCCCGATAGTGCGTTCCCTTCCCGCCGCCCCGCCGTCCGCCGCGAACGAGCGCTCCTGGCGCGCGGCGCCGAGCGCTTGGGCCCCGTCGTCGCCTGTCTGCGGCGCAGGACGGGCTTCCGGCGGGCCGGAGACCGGGGCGTTCCAGGCCATTGTTTGGGCCGAGCCTGTTTCCGGTGGCGGCGGGAGGGGCCGGGATGGAGCTGGAGGCGCGGCCTGGGCAGAACGAAACCCGCCTGAGGGGCTGGAAGAGCCTAGTGCCTGCAGGGTGGGGAGGGGGTCCCGGGGAGTTGTGGGGCCGGGGAGAAACCTCGGGAACTCCGGGGACCCTGCTAAGGCGGGGGCGGTGCCTTCGATGCTCGTCCCCCCTTCCCCAACTCTTACAAACTGACAGCAGCCGCCCCTGCCATCGTCACTTTTCATGGACCCAGGAGTCCCGACGCCCGGGCTGCCTGTACTCACCACCCAGGAGCCCAGGCCAACAACTACCTCACCAGTTATGGAGTCAGAAAATCAAGGCCTCAGCCCCCTTCCAAGTAATGAATCCAGAAGTTCAGACTTCAGCTCTTTTCTTTCCCTCCTAGGCTCAAGAGCTCAGGTTTCCCTTCTCCCTCAAACTCAGGAGTCGACCCCAAGTCCCCTCCTCCCCCAGGACTCCTGGCCCAGCCCTTCCAACGCTGGAATCCAGGCCCCCAGCCCCTTTTTCCACCAGATGTGGGAGGCCCTGTTCGCATCTCCCCCAGCCACATCCTCTCCAAGGTTGCAAGAATCTCAGCTCGTAGATCCAAGAACTGATTTCTAAATCCTGACCCCCAGAACCCCCGGACCTGACCCCGGAGGAACGGATGGAGCTGGAGAACATCCGCCGGCGGAAACAGGAGCTGCTGGTGGAGATCCAGCGCCTCCGGGAGGAGCTCAGCGAAGCCATGAACGAGGTGGAGGGTCTGGAGGCCAATGAGGGCAGGTGAGGGCTGGAGCAGGGAACTTGGGGGGCTAGGGTGTGGGAAGAGCCAGGGATGTCCAGGCATTGACCCTCGACCCCCTCAAGCCCACCTTGCTCTCTGCCCCTGCAGCAAGACTTTGCAGCGGAACCGAAAGATGGCAATGGGCAGGAAGAAATTCAACATGGACCCCAAGAAGGTACGTGGGGCCACGGGGCTGGCTGGGATCAGGCAGGCAGACAGGAGACGGAGTTCTGGCACCTTGAAGTTCCCAAGTGTGACAGGTACAGATGTCCTTTAGGCAGACACTGGGTCCTGATCCCTGGCTGTCTGTTTTGAGAACACTCCCCAAGTGTTCCAGCCTCCTGACTTGCTTGTGTTCTGTGCCCTGCCTGAAGGGTCCTTTGCCCTTATTCTGGATGCAGTCCGGGTCCCAAGAGGAGCTTGAATGTGGTAGGGGTTATGGCCAAAATGACATCCCCAAGGAGACCTGAGGAGGGAGGTTCCAGGGCTGTGGACACCCAGGGCCGGGAGCTAGAAGAGCCAGGAGGACTCACCTGAGGAGGAGGCTTTCAGCCAGGTTTGAAGGATGAGCAGATGTTTACCAGGTGGAGGAAAGACATTTCTATAGGGTGTTGTTCAGACTGGCCTCGAACTCACTCTGTAGCTCAGGCTGGCCTCACACTCAAAGTGATCCTCCTGCCTCAGCCTCCCAAGTGCTGGGATTACAGGTCTTCACTACCACACCTGGCAGAGGAAATACATTTGTTCCCTTATTTCACATCCATTGGCTGAGGCCTCCCAAAGGCCTGACTCTGTGCTAGGTAATACTGAAGACCTTGAGAAGAATCTGACCTCCCCTCAGAGAGATCCTAGACATAGGTACCACAGTTCTGAGGCTTTTAGCTATAATGGCGAGCTCATGTTCACAGCCTTCGATAGAGTGCAGTGCTAATGGCTTCTCTATTTTTAATTTTTAAAATTTTTTAAATTTTTATTTGTACCAGGAATCAAGCTCTGGTCCTTGTGCCTGCAAGGCAGGCGGAGGAACCACTAAGCTAAATCCCCGGCCCATCTAAATCCCTGGCCCATCTCTTTATTCATGCCTGTAGCAGTTATAGTTTGTTCAGTCATTCACCAAACAAGTTGAGGCCCTGTTGAGGCTGGGGTGGGTTTAGATGTTGAGGTTCAGGGGTTGTCGAAGAGACCAGGGACCTGGCCTCTACCCACCAGGGCATCCAGTTCTTGGTGGACAATGAGCTGCTGCAGAACACACCCGAGGAGATCGCCCGCTTCCTGTACAAGGGCGAGGGGCTGAACAAGACTGCCATCGGGGACTACCTGGGGGAGAGGTGAGATGCCGGCCCAGCTCCTGCCCGAGGATGGCAGGACTGTGACAGGGTGGCCTGATGGGCTAGGAGAGCAGGAGAGCACTGTGGGTGTGGGACCTGGGACGGCTGTCTAGGCAGAGTGGGGACCACTGCGATGTCTGGTGGCCATGGTGAACACCTGCAAGTGCAGCAACAGACAGCTTGGGGATTGCGTGTGGATGCGGGAAGGGTGGGGCCTATTGCAGCGGTGCCTGAAGCTGCACCCTGTGGACATGTAGGAGTCAGGGGCTTGGGCCTGACACTGGGGACCTGGGGCTCTCTGGACATGGGGTCTAGGGATATGGACATCTGGGCGTGGGGACCATGACAGGACATCAGGACCACAGGAGTGTTTGAGACCGGTGGCAGTAGGTGGCCTGCATGTTTGCCGCATTTCTCTCACCGTTCACACACTCCTGATGAGAGCCAGCTCTCTGTCCCACCCCAGGGCCAGACCTGCCACGGGCTCAGGCTTGGGTGTCCCCCACCCCCGACTCCGTGCGTGACTTTGCCCCTCTTCCCAGGGAAGAACTGAACCTGGCAGTGCTCCATGCTTTTGTGGATCTGCATGAGTTCACCGACCTCAATTTGGTGCAGGCCCTCAGGTGAGAAGGATGGGTCAAAAGGGCAGGAATGTATGCTTAGGCAGGAGGGATAATCCCTACCTACTCAGAACAAATAGATACAAGCAAAAGTAGACACGAACCTAAGGAGCTGATTGCCGGGTGTAACACAAGAGTCTACGGATAGGGTCTCCTTCAGGCATAACTGGATCAAGGTGCCTAAATGGAATTGGAAAGTTGGATTCCTGTGTCTCACGCTTGTGCTGGTAGTGCCCTCTGGACACTCTCCAATGGCAACAGAAGCCCTGGGTAACCACCATTCCTCTTTAGCAACCTTAGGGGAAGGAAGAGGCTATTTCCATAGAGATCCACCAGAAGTCCCCTGGCTGGTGCCCATTTATCAGGTTGGGTCACAAGTCTGCACCTCAAGCAGCTGCTGAGGACAGAAGGTGCGGTGTCTCGATGGCCAGTTCCTAGTGGAGAGACAAGAGTGAGGGGGAGCTTCTGGCCCTGATACCACACCTGTCTCTCTTCAAACCAGGCAATTTCTGTGGAGCTTTCGCCTCCCTGGAGAGGCCCAGAAAATTGACCGGATGATGGAGGCCTTTGCTCAGCGATACTGCCTGTGCAACCCTGGGGTTTTCCAGTCCACAGGTCAGGCCCAACTCCTCGTTCCTGGGGTGGAAGAGGCTGGGCCTGGACCCCTGGGTGTGAGGGAGGTGGCCGGGCCTGGCCCCCGGGTCTGAGGGAGGAGCCCGGGCCCCACGCCTCGGGCCGTCATCCCCATCCTGCTCTGTGCAGACACATGCTACGTGCTGTCCTTCGCTGTGATCATGCTGAACACCAGCCTGCACAATCCCAACGTCAGGGACAAGCCTGGCCTAGAGCGTTTTGTGGCAATGAACCGGGGCATCAACGAGGGCGGGGACCTCCCTGAGGAGCTGCTCAGGGTCAGCCCACATTCCTGTCCCTCCCTGCCCCTGGGCTCCCCATGCTGTTCTGTCCTGCCTCCTCCCCCAGCGGCCTGCCCTGGCCAGCAGCACTGTGTTTTCTCTGTCCAGGGCTCAGTCTGCCTTGCCAGTCTCTGTTCACCCCCCTGAGAATTCAGCAGACTCTGCTTGTCATCTTCACTCCCTCCTCATTTCTGTACTATTTCTACTTCACTCCATCTGTCCCCTCTTGCCCAGCCTGCTCCCCACCATCGGCTCACCGCCCCCCCCCCCCCCCCCCCGAGTGCCCGGGAAGGTCCAGGGCTTGGCATCACTGACCCCACCTCCACCCCTCAGAATCTCTATGACAGCATCCGGAACGAGCCCTTCAAGATCCCTGAGGACGACGGGAACGACCTGACCCACACCTTCTTCAACCCAGACCGGGAGGGCTGGCTCCTTAAGCTGGGTACATCCCCTCCTGACCCCTCGGGGTGCCTCTGCTGGGAACACTAGTGAGCCCAGCTCAGACTCAGCTTCTGCACATAGCCAGTGTGTGACCAGAGGCAAGGGATTTGACCTCTCTGAACCTCAGCCTCCACATCCAAAAATGGGGCTCACAGTAAGCACAGACCTGAGTGCTGGCCCCAGCCCAGGCCCTGCTGTGGAGCCCTCCCTGTGCCAGGCCCTGAACTCCGCACCAAGGAAGCCTCAGACAGCATAGTCCACCTCTGGATGCAGTGTCCCCTGGGTGCACTCCCCCTGCAGTTAACAGGGACCCGGCCCAAGGGGTTGGCACCCAGGGGACCTGTTACCCTGGTCCAAAGGCCCCCAGGGCTAGGGCAGAGCTCTGCAGGGCTCTGTTGTCCCCATCTGCTGGCTGTGTCATCAGCCCAGCAGCACAGTGACTATTACCAGTGTCTTGCCATCCTCAAAATGTCACTCAGGCAAAAGAGCTAGCATGAGCAAGGACAGCTGTCCCAGAGTTCCGAGGAGGACTCCCCGCCTGGCTAGATGGGCTGCTGGCTGAGAGGGAACAGCCTGGGCTGCGGAGATGAATGGAGTTCCCCAGCTTGGGGTCGGGGGGGTCTGCCTTGTGACACCAGCAGATTCTGGTCAGCCAGCATGGGTCACAGAAGGTGGCAGTCGTTGTGAGGTGTGGAGTCCTCCAGCTGCATGTGACAGTCACCTAGGCTTTTTGAGGACCCCAGGGGCCAAGCCACATTCCTGTAAGCTGTAGCTCAGTGTGAGGCCCCGGCCTACACAGGCCCTGCAGCGAGCTTGCCAGCGATTGGCTGCTCTGCTTGGGAGCTTCAGAGAGAGGCAGGAAGGTGGTGTCACTATGAGCCAGTGCCCCAGAGCTGTCCCTGTCAGCAGGAAGTCGCTGATTTCCCAGCTGTGGAAACGCCCAGCCCCCACCCCACAACCCCAACTTTGGTGCTGACCAAAGTGCATGGATCCCTTTGTGGCCCTTAGAAAGGGCGATCTTCCTTGGTACCTTCAAAGGCAGCTTGTGATGTCCTTACTCCTGATGATGGTCGATAGATGTCACTCTTTGTCCTTTTGGGCCCACAGGGATGGCAGAGAAGCTGGTCATGTTGCTGCAGGATAGGGTGGACCCAGATGGGTCCCAGGCTGGAGTTCAGGGAGGGCAGTGTCTTAAGGTCACACAGCCACTCTGCTGGAGTTGAGGACTGAGATGAATCCCTAGGGGAGGTACATGTCCCCATGGCCACAGAGGAGCCTCCTGCCCAAGACATGTGCTGGGGGGCCGGAGCTGAGCCCAGAGGCAAGGGGGTGCTGATAGCCTCCCCGGGAGGGAGAGGCTGCGGCCATTCCTCCCCCGTGTAGATATAACTTTTTCTTCCTCTCTCTCCCTCCCTCCCTCCCTCCCTCCCTCCCTCTCTCCCTCTCTCCCTCTTTGTGTGGCTGTGTCTCTGTCTGTCCCGCCTCTGCGCATTCTCCCTCACCCACCCTGTCTCTGCTGCCACGGCTCTGGGGGCTCCCACCTTCCACCTTCCCTCTCCTGCACCTGGTCCTGCTGCTTTCTCGCTGTCTGCCCCAGGAGGTAGGTGCCCACCAGCCTCACCCTGTCCCGAGTTGCACACGGGCATGGGGCTGCCCTGGCCTTGGCCCACTGGAAGGCTCCTCCTGGGCCCGGGTAGCAGACAGGCCTCAAAAGCATGAGCCCCAAGCTGGGGGTGGACACCTTCCTGGGCCCAAACATGCCTGTCCCTGCTTGGTCTCTCTTCCCACCTGCTGCCTTTGTCCTGGGCCTGAGAGCCCCGCCTTTCCAGCTGTGCTCCGCCTCCCCTCCCCCTCCCAGAGGTCCTGTCCCCCTGTTGAGCCCAGGCCCCCTCCCACTCCTTCCCTTTCAGGGGGCCGGGTGAAGACATGGAAGAGGCGCTGGTTCATCCTCACTGACAACTGCCTCTACTACTTCGAGTACACGACGGTGAGAGGCAGGCTGGACCCTCAGGTCTAAGGGAGGAGGGTCTGTGCCGGGACCACTGGGTCTGACGGAGGAGGAAGACTGGGCCGAGACCACAGGGTCTGAAGGTGGAGATTGGGCCTGGAGCCCCGGGTCTGAGGGAGGAGGCTGGGCCCGGATTCCTGGTCTGAGGGAGGAGGGACTGGGGTAAAGATTTAGATGTCTAAATTCTGTCCATGTTGCTCCTTCAGGACAAGGAGCCCCGAGGAATCATTCCCCTGGAAAATCTGAGCATCCGAGAAGTGGATGATCCCCGGAAGCCAGTAAGACACTCTTTGTACCTCTTCTGGCCCACGAGGCTCCAATCTGCCCCCACTACTGGCTCTTAAACCTGCTGTCTCTCTGCCATGTCTCCCCAGAACTGCTTTGAACTTTACATCCCCAACAACAAGGGGCAGCTCATCAAAGCCTGCAAAACAGAAGCAGACGGACGGGTGGTGGAGGGGAACCACATGGTGTACCGGATCTCAGCCCCTACGCAGGAGGAGAAGGACGAGTGGATCAAGTCCATTCAGTGAGCCCAGGCTCCTCCAACCGGAGGGTCTGAGGGAAGAGACTGGGCCTGGGCTCCTCCCTCACCTGATCTCTCCTCTGCAGGGCTGCTGTGAGCGTGGACCCCTTCTATGAGATGCTGGCTGCGAGGAAGAAGAGGATTTCTGTCAAGAAGAAGCAGGAGCAGCCCTGACCCCTGCCCCCAACTCTGTTATTTATTATGGAGCTGCCCTGCCCAGGTGGCCGGACCCCTGGGCCCAGGGGCTGTGGATCCTGCTCCTCCATTTGGAATATTCACCACCTCCCTCCAGCTCCTCCTTATTTGTAATTAACATGCTGTTGGTAATCTTATTAATTATTTAACCACTCAAGCCTACAGGCCCCTTTTTTTCTTTGGGTGGGCAGAGCTGAGGTGCTTAGCTCTTAGCATTTAGTGTGTCGGGAACTGGGCCAGTCACAGCCACTGAGCAGCTCACAGGGCTCCAGAGCAGGGTGCTGTCTCTGAGGGGTCACATCTGGAGGAGTTTTAACAGGCAGGAGTTAGTGTGCAGAGCTGGCTGATCCAGAGAAAGTGTTTAGAAGGCAGGTTCTGGGGGTCCAGCGTTCACGCTCCATGCACCCTAACAGCTGTGACCAGCCTTCTGTGGCCTGTGGTCTGGGGCAGGGAGTCCATAATAGGCCGAGATCCTTGCCGGTGCACAGAGGTCTTGAGGAGCAGGGTCCAGGTCAGCAGGCTGCTGACCTGGGTGGTGTCGCCAGAGGAGGCACAGCAGGCACAGGGCACCTTGTGTGTGGAAAAGGACAGCACTGTGGGCCGGTGCCTTGGAGGCAGGCTTCACCACCGAACTCTGAGCCTCCTGTGGGGGTCATGCCAAGGGGCTGCCTTTCCAGTGTTATTCCTGGGAATGTGACAGGAGGCCCCACTTTGAAGCCAAGTTTTGTTTTTTTGTATTTTTTGTTTGTTTTTTTTTTTGTTTCGGGGATCAAACTCAGGTCCTTGCGCTTGCGCAGCAGGCAATGAAACCACTGTGCTAAATCCCCAGCCCTGAAGAGCCCAGATGTTGATGTGGGTCAGCTCCCTTTTGCCCTGCATTTGGGGTCTCTGTGGTGTCCTCAAAGACGGCCTGGTAGGTGCCGAGGCACACTCGTTGTGTCATTGGGAGATCCTGCCTTTGGAGGAGCGGCAGTCTCCAGGGAGACCGACAGCTCTCGGGCACTGCCAGGTGCCCCGTAGCCTGTCGGGAATTGTAGTTCTGTGCCCTGTCGGGAGCTGCCGAGAGCCACCAATTGCTGAGTAGGGCGGGATGGGTGGGCAGCTTCCCAAGTCTCAGGCTCAGTGCTGGTCTCAGATCCTCAGTAGCTTGCTAACTGCTGCCCTTGTAAAAGGGGTGCCTCAGGCCGAGAGACAATGGACTGCAACTCCCTGCAGGCTGCTCAGCACCCCCAGGGCAGAGCTGCCAGGACAAGGGCCAGGGTCTGCGTGGCTGTGGCTGGGAAGGACTGGACCCATGTCAAACGCCTTGAAAGAGGAGCCACCAGCTGAGTGGTAATTGTACTGACTGCCGTGTTCCAAAGGGAGTTTTTGGGGTGGAAATCAGTTCTGTTCTTGCCAAATTACGCTGCAGATCCCCATGGAATATTTGAGCCAGACTGCATTCACCTCAGTTGCCCTTCAATTCTGCCTTGACTCATCTCCCCAGGACTGAAAAGCCTGAATTCCAGCTCCCTCCCCACTCTGGACCTCAATCCCGACCCTCCTTTTACAGGCCGAATTGTGTCTTCAGATTCCTATGTTGAACCCCACCAGCCTTAGCTCAGAATGCAATCTTAATTTGGAAATGGGGTTATTGCAGATATACTTGACATGAAGTCATTAGTGTGGGTCCTAATCCAGTATGACTGCTGTCCTTATAAAACAAACAAAATCGGACAAACGGACACACCGAAGAGCCATGCAGAGAAGGCAGACATGGTGAAGCTTATGATGCCCAGGACCACCAAGTATCACCAGCAGAGTGCCAGGAACCAGGGTAGGAAGGCCATGGAGCTCACTTCCCCTCAGAGTCCCCAGAGGGAAACCACCTTGCTAGCATTTATCCTGGACTTCGAACCTCCGGAGTTGAGACAGTGTATTGCTATACTTTAAGACACCAGATCTCAAGTACTTTGTTATATTAGCTCTGGTGAACCAATGTGCACATGCTCCCTCAGACCTGGAAGTCCAGGCCCATCCTCTTCCCTCAGACCTGGGGGTCCAGGCCCAGGCCCCTGGGCTGCCCCCGCTCACTTCCTGCATTCCCACCCTGGGCAGGCATACCCAAGATTGTATCAAGGGCCACCACCGTGTACACTAGCAGTGACTATGGCTGAAGAGGCAAAAGCCTTCTCCCTGTCCCAGTTGCTGGAGACTGGTGTGACCATAATGCTTGCACCACCTAAATTCCTAAACTTAGAGTCTCAGGGGTCCGCCCCTTGCTCCTTCCTCCTCTGCCATCCAACTACCTCCTAAAGTGCCAGTGAATCTGGCCCCAGGTGACGGGACAGCCAGGTGCAAAGGACCAAAAGATGGATGGGTGCCCAGTACAGGGAAAGAGACAGGTGCAGGCAGGAACAAGGGGACAGACACAGAAACCTCGAGGGAGAAAGACAGGGAGAGAGAAGTCCCAGGTGGATGGCAGAGAACACCAGGGCAGGTGGAGACCAAAACCAGGCGGAGTAGCTCAGAAGCATGGGGAGAACACTAGGAATCTGCACAGAGATGAGGTTAGGCAGAAGTCCAGAGATGAGGATGTCAGGGAGCCAGAAGTCACATGGAAAAGTGGGTAAACTGAGGCAGTGCCATCACAGGCAGGGATGACAACGTTGACCCTCAAGGACAAGCGGTGGCAGTCTGAGAAGGTGTCTCGGACACTGTCATGGTCCACTATGGGCATCAGCAGGTCATTTCTGATCTCCAACACCTGCCCCTGTCCTGGACAGCTTGTGGCAGCCTGTGGAAACATGGCTCCCACCACAGCCCACCCTCGCTGCTCCTCATGGCCTCCTGGTCAATTGGACTGCTGCTGAAGTTTGGGAGTCTTGTTTGTTTTGGTATGTGGGATCGAACTCGGGTCCTTGCACTTGCGAGCAGGCGGCGGAACCACTGAGCTAAATCCCCGGCCTGTTTTTTTGTTTTTTTGAGACAGGGTCTTGCTGTGTAGCCCAGGCTCAGACTTGGTGATCCTCCCACCTCAGCCTCCCAAGTGCTGGGAGAAGTTGGGAGTCTTGAACTCCAGACCCAGAGCATGGACCAGGAGAGGCTCCCCCACCACGCCTGAGGAGCCTCGAGGACAGTGTCTTCTCTCTGCACCCCCTGAAACACACACAGGGCCCACGTTCCTCCAAAAAGTTGTTTTTGTCTTTTTTAAATAATGTGAAAATGCCACGCGAAGGTTGAACCAGAGGCCCCTCTGGGGGCCGGGCTGGGAAGGGCAAGGGAGATGGAGATGGAGTCCAGGTCCCCGAAGCCTGCCGCCCCTGTTCGGGGCGGGAGTGAGTGAGAAGGGGCCTCCACTGTGCCCGGGGCTCCAGGCCCAAAGAGTTCAGTTCAGTTCTGAGAAAGCGGCTCTCCAGGAAGGGCGAAGGGCTTCTTGCCTCATTTGGCACCAAGGGGGTCTGGGGGGTCTGGGGAGCTGTCTGGGGGGCTGGGGGGTGGAGGGCCAGGGCCTCCTGTTTGGCACGTGGTGGAGGAGGGGGAGGGGGAGGGGGAGGACCCACCCTCGGGAGCCTCCCCGGAGGCGGTGGTGGTGGCATCTGCAGTGGTGGCAGTGGCTCCGTCATCCACAGAGGATTCTACTCTCAGCCCCTCTTCAGGGGGTGCAGGGGGGTCAGGTCTTTGGGGAATCAATTCTCCACGGGGCCTGAGGATGGAGAGAAGGGAGAGACACACAGGATTATGGGGGGACAGACTGCCAGCTTCAGATGGCTCAGGGTGAAAGCACAGCTGTGGCCCGGAAGGCCCCGCATCCAGCCCGCCATCTGCCTTCCACCCCTGTCCTCACCTGGGCTTCTCGGGCCCCTCCACTGCAGCCACACTGGCTACCTCGCTGTACCCGCACAGCTCCGAGCACAGCCTCCCTCAGGGCCTGCTCCCACTGCCCCTGCAGAGGTCTCCCCGATCACCCAGCCACGCAGTCACCTGACCCCAGGCTGTTGCCCACTTCCCCCCCATATGTTTGTCACTCTGGGGTCACCCCAGTTATGGCAGACGTGCTTCCCGTCTGCTTGCTTCCCCAGAGTGTAAGGAAGCTCAGTGAGGACAGGGACTGTGGTCCTCAATCCCTGGCCCAGCCTCAGTCCAATGGCTCCTTTTCAAAGGAATGGGGAGACTGGGACACGTGGTGTTGTCACTCAGCTGGGCACACCAGCAGCCAGCCGTGTGGTGGCCTCCCAGTATCTGTCAGCCGAGCACAGGGATTTGGAGTTTCACATAACCAGGGCCTCTGACTTTGTCTTCTGGTGACTAAAGCGAGGTCACCTCACTAGCTGGCTCTGCCAGCCTCAGCCCTGACTCACCATTTGGCCTATCTGCACCCCACCCTGCCCTCACGGGGGCTGTGAGATGAGGTGTTGGGAGCAGTGACATTCAGGGCGAGGCTGGGGACATAGCCAAGAGTCAGCCCCAGGCCTGTCCCTCGTCCCTGTCACCAGCTTCTCCCCAGCCACCCAGTTTCTGCTTTCTCCCCTCCTCAGCCCGCTGTGGTCCCAGGCCCCTCCCCTGCATACAGTCTTCCATGGTTCCCTAGTGCCCAGGACAGCACAGGCCCTGGCCCACTGCACCTCACCCCTCCACCATGGCCACCCCAGTTCCCGGAACTGGCCAAGTTCTGTCCTGCCTCTGGGCCTATGTGCAAGCTGTTCCCCCTGACAGCGCCCTGTCCCTTTCCTGTCACCCAGTTAACAAGTGTCCCTGGCCAGGTGACACTGCTCTGGGGAAGACAGAGACCTTTCCTCTTGCCACCTGCTTTTCCAGCAACCCTGTTTGCAGCTATTCTCCTACGGTGATGCTGTGTGGTTAGTGGAGGCAGAGGCAGGCAGGGCCCCCACACAGCAGATGCTCACCGAGGTCTCTCAGCAAACACCCACCCAGTGAGGCGCAATCCAGCTAACAGCCCAAGGCCACTGCTACACGGCTCCAAGCTGCGCATACAGGAGGATGAAGCCATTTAATGTCCTCTTAGGAGCTGGATCCTGTTAGCATCCCCAATCTTTCTTTCTTTTTTTTTTTTGTGCTGGGGATCCAATGCAGAACCTTGTGCTTCCAAAGCAGGCAGCGGAACCACTGGGCTAAATCCCCGGCCAGTAGCATCCCCAATCTACAAGTGAGGAAACTAAAGCACAGAGGAAAGTGACTTCCCCCAGGTCACACAGCCCATGAATGGGGGGACAATACCTGGACCTAAGCAACATCTGGGGAAGCAGAAACGGAATCCTCCCTGACAGGTCCAGTTGCACCTCTCCCTTCCCAGCCCTTCTCCAGGTACTGGGGTGTCCTCCGGGCGGGCAGCAGAGAGCACAGTCCCACCTGCCAGGCCTCAGTGGTGGTGGCACCCGAAATCAGCACTAGGAAGGCCCTGACCCTCTGCTGAGGTGGCCTGGGGATTAGCACCACATGCTGCGCCAGATAGAAGAGGAGCAGCAGGTGTGGACTGGGGCTGCAGGGAGCCAGCAGTGCGGCACGGAGACAGCTCCTCGCTCAAAGGAGGCCTGTTTTCCCTCTGGTAAAACAAGACCCCGGTGGGCTTATGTGAGGCTCAGATGGGTCCAAGTGTGGCAGACACACTGCCTGCTGCTCTGTGGCGTGCTGACGGAGCTGTCAAGGGACTCGCTGGTGGCCATGTCCTAATTGTCTGTCAGATCCCTGAGCCCCCACCAACGAATCTGCTAGGCTCGAGCCCAGAAATAGGTCAGAGATGGGCACAAGTGTGTGTATGATCCTTACAGGACGGGAAACTGAGGCTGGGGAGGGGGTGTCTGACGGACCCCACTTGGGCAGGGGACAGTAGTGACTGGGGTATGGGGGAAAAGGCTGAGAAGCAAGAGGCAGGGAAATCCTGGGAGGGGTGAGGGGAAGGATGACACTCGGGAGCATGGACTGGAAGTGGGGCACAGTACCTGCGGACCGGGCGTCGGGGGCCCGGGCGGGGGGCCCCGGGGTCTCCAGCGCAGGCGAGACGGAGAAGCGGGAGAAGCACAGGGGGGGCCCTGGCGGGGGGAGGAGGGGGAAATCCTCCGCCCACTCGAAACTGCCTCCTAAGGGAGAGGAGAGCCGAACTCTCAGACCGGGTCACAGCCCGGCTTCGGCCCCGCCCACCGAAGACCACACCCAGCCCCGCCCAGCCCCCTGCCCACAGCGGAGGCCCCGCCCCTCACCAAAGCCGCTGTCGTTGCTGGGAAACCCATCTCCGGGGGTGGCGGGGTGGGGAGGCGTCGGGGGCGCTGGGGGCGTTGACGGGTCCGTGTCCCCCTCGGGGGGCCCCTGGACGCTCAGCTCGTTGGTTGGCGTCTCCTGCGGAGACAGATGAGGGGACCCGCGAGGGCACGAAGCGTCACACCCCACGCACCGCCTCCCCCGCAAGCGCCCCTCCCGCTGGCACTCCTCGGCCGGGCCTTGGCATCCGATGGACAACCGCGGGGAGGAGCCCGCAGCCCCGCACCTGCCCTCCAGGCCCCGGACGCCTCCGCCTCCCCGAGGCCAGCTCCTCACCTGGCTGCGGGCTCCGCCCATCGCCGCTCGGAGCCAGCGGCCTCCCCAACCCCGCACACCCCGCCTTCAGAGGGGACTCTGCCCAGCAGTGGCCTTGGCCCAAGCGCCAGACCCAGTCTTCGCCGTGGTCTCCCCCGCCCAGGTTCATTCACAGCACCACCTTGCCCTCCCTTTCTCTCTTTAACATTGTCCCCCCCAGATCCTCCTGAGACAGACAGGGTTTCGCTAAATTGCCCAGGCTGGGCTCGAACGTGCGATCCTCCTGCCTCAGCCTTTCACGTGCTGGGATTGCAGGCGCCCAGCTTTCAGAGACACTTAACTCAGACTTCAGCCCGTCGTTAGTTGCATCCATTTCTGATCTTACCCCAACTTTGTTTTGTTTTTTCGTTTTTGAGACGGCATCTCGCTGTAGTGTCCAGGCTGGCCTCGAACTCCTGGGCACAAGCAATCTTCCTGCCTCATTCTCCCAAGTGGCTAAATATCTTTTTTTTTTTCTTTGGTACCGGGAATCGACCTCAGGTCCTTGCGCTTTCGGGGCAGGCGGCGGAACCACTGAACTAAATCCCCGGCCCAATGGCTAAGTATCATAATACTGCATGTCACGATGTTCAAATCCTTCTCGGGTAAGATCCACCTCAATGTCCTCTAAGGTCCTTGGGGCTCTGCTTGAGACTCCGCCCCAAATTCCACTAGGCTCCGCCCCATGATCAGGCCACGCCCTCACTGCACAGCCATTTCTCCCTAGCCTCTCCAGGCTCCGTTACTTGACTAACCACTATCTATCTCCCTTTCCTTTCAGACACGCTGCAAGGCCTCTCCTTCCTCTACGGACCCCCGCACCCCACCGGCCCCCCTCCACTCCAGGTCCTACTCTTGCTCCAGGCTCTAGGCTTGGCCCATCCCTCTGCTGCGCCCCATCCCTGGGTCTCATCCTCTCAGGCTAAGGTTTCCTCCAGCCTTCTCCTTGGAAGTGTGGCCTCCTCCAGCTCCAGGCCGATTCTGGGATAAGCTTCCCTCTAGGCCCCACCCTTTAAGGCGTAGCCTCCATCCAGGCCCGCCCTCATGCTGGAAAAGCGCCCTTTGAGACCCCGCCCGATTGGGGGCGTGGCACGTCAAGTCCCCGCCCACCAGGGAAACAAGCTTCCTTCCGCGTCAGGGGCGAGTTCTCCTCAGCCCGACCCCGAGGCGTGGCCTCCCCGGCGGCCGCACCCACCGCGTGCCCGCGCCCGCCGCACCCACCTGGTCGAAGAGGTAGACGGTCACGTCCCCGTGGAAGGAGACCATCTTGCGCTTCCTCTCCAGCTCGCTGTCCTCTGGCTCGTCGGCCCCGCGCGGAGACTTGAGCAGCCCCCGCAGCGGGCGGGCCGCGTCCGCGTCGCCGCTGCTCACCACGACGGGCACCGGGGCTGCCCGCGTCCTCTCGGGGCCCCGCGGCCCCGCCGCCGCGTCCTCCTCCTCCTCGTCCTCGTCCTCGTCCTCCCCGTCCTCCTCCGCCGGCCCCGACGACCCCGCCCCGCCGGCCTCCCCGCCAGCCGCCCCGGCGTCCGCGCCCTCCCATGGGGGCCGCCGCGGGCCCGGGCCCGGGAACGGCGAGAGCGTGAGCGGCGGCAGCGCCAGCGACAGGCGCGAGAGCTTGGCTGCGGGGGAGAGAGCGTGCGGCGTCGGGGGACCTGCGGCGGGCCCTCCGCGCGCGTCCCGGGCCGGCCCCTCCTTGCTCCGTCAGGGCGGGCGCTCTGTGCCACTCCGGTCCTCAGTCCACCCACAGCGCCCCAGGACGCAGGGCCTACAACCCGGGTTCTCTGACAGCCGCCCCTGCTGGTTGCCCACACTTCATTTTGGCCTGGCCTTCGTCCAGCCATATCCTCTGGGCCTCTGCAATGCTGTTCCCTTTTCTGACTCAGTCCTGCTGGTCCTCGGGCTCTGGGCCTTCCCACCCCTTGGAGATCTCCCAGCAGGGCAGCCACAGGGCTCTGGCCCACGCACGCCCCGAGGGCGCAGAAGTGCTTGGGTCAGTGGGGTGGATGCATGTTCCCCGGCCAAGTGCTTCCCCTCGCTGGCCCTTGAGAGGCAAAGCTGTGCTCTAACCATCTCCAAACCCCTCCTCTGCCCCCGCTCTCCAGTCTCAGCCTGCAGGGAGTGAAGGATTTCAGTTTCCTGGAGGACAGCTAGCTTCCAACCCAAACCTGTCCTCCCTTGGTGTGTCCCTGGGCAAGCACGTTCCCCCCTGAACCTGTGCTCTCACTGGACAGGAGCCCAGCGGGGATGAGAGGCAGGCGGGGGAGGGCCAGGGAGAAGGACGGCTGTGCCCTGAACACGTCAAACTAGCGCTCACTTGGTTTCCTCTCCCTGCAGCACCGCTGCCCCAGGGGCCTGCCTGGCTCACACTTCTTCTCCTTCACTTCTCTCAGAAGTCACCTGGTTGAGTCCTTCCCTGCCCAAGCACCTCACTGATGGAGGCAGAGGCGTGCTGCTGAGAGGGAACCCACAGTGCCCAGAGAGGACAGGGTGATGGCCTTCAGAAAGCAGGCCGGCTTCCCAGGGAAGGGGGCAGTTGCACTGGATGAATAGGAATTCGCCAGTGGAAAAAAGCCATTCCGGGCCTCTTCTCCTGGCAGCCCCAACCTGACCGAGCCTCTGAGGTACCCTGGCTGCTCAGCAGCTAACACAACCATGCTGCCCAGTGTCCTTTCAGACAGAGCTGGACACAAACTCCACGCTACACTCCTGAGGCCTGTCACAGCCCCTGTCCTGGCCCCGCTGGCAGTAGAAACTGAGCGTGGCTGGGAGGTCACCAGCACTGGTAACTGTCACACGGATGTTTAAGGAAATCAGGTCTCCTCCCGTACAGGGCTGTCCATCCTTCCTCTCCATTTTTCTTGGATGTCCACTCTGTAGCAAAGTGCTTCCCATGTTCTTGATCCTCCCAGCCCTCAGCACCTTGCTGCTGGTGGTGTGGCATGCTGGGGGGATACTGGCTCATTGGAGAGTTTAAAGGGAAGACCACGTGCCAGCAGCCCGGGACTCTGCCTACCCTCTTCCCCCTTCTTTGGAATTGGTTGCAAACAGAGCTCTTGTTTAAAAAGGAAAAGCACCAGACTTGGCAGCTCTGGGTGGGCTTCTTGGGATGTGGCAGCCCCCTGCAGACAAAGCCTTTTCTCCCTACACTCCATCTTCCTCAGGCCACTTCGCCATTTCCTGGTACCATCTGGTGTATGACTCCAGGAGTCCTGGTCTAGATGGATCACATCACTAACAGCAGCTCCCGATGGAGGCTTGAGCCCTAACTCAACCCTCACAGCCACACTGAGCAACAGACGGGGAAACTGAGGCACGGAGCAGCAAGCATGTCTGCCCAAGACTGCAGAGTAGGGAAGGGAAAGAGCCAGGGTTTGTGCTGGGGCAATATGACTCCAGGCTCTGCAGTCACTCTGAACTGGCATCCCCACTGCCACACCCACCCCAGAAGGCGCCAGCCCCCACCTCCCCAGGGCTCCTCACCTTTGATCTGCTCGCTGTTCCCCTGTGGGGGTCCCAAGTCCAAGAACAGCCGTGGCATCTCGGGGCCCTTCCTCTCGGGCTTGGAGGGGTCCCCGTCTCCGCTGAGTGCCGTGTCTCCGCCGGCTCTGCTGTCTGGGACCCCGGGCTCTCCCTCGGGGGCCACCTCGGGCCTGACCCTCGGGGACACTGGCTCTGGCCTCCTCGGGTGGGCTTCCGGGGGTGGTAGCGGTGGCAGCGGCTGTGGCTTCTTGCTGTCTACCCATCCGACCTTTGCGTCCACGCCGCTTCCGAGGCCGCCGCCGGGGGCCATCCCCATGCCCACTGGGGCTCGGCCCCCACTCCCGAGGTCCAGCCTCCCAGCCCCGGGGGCTCTCGGCACCCCCCCAGTCTCGTGGGCTCTCCTCTCTTTCCCGGGGTCCAGCATCCCGATCTTGGGGGCTGGGCCAAGGGGGCCAGGAGCTGTCTCCAAGCCGTTCTGGAGCAGGGCCACCTCGCTGGGCACAGGGGCTCTCTCCAGCGGGGTCTCGGGGGCTGGCTCCCCACTCTCGGGCGTCTTCTCCCGGGGCCCTGGGGCTCTCCAAGGCCCAGTCTCTGTCAGCCTCTCCGTGTTCCTGGGGAACCTCAGGAGCCCATTCTCTGAGACCTTCTCCTCGATCCCGGGGGGTATCGGCCCCCCATTCGCCAGAACCTTCTCCCCGGCCTCTGGGGACCTCGGCCCCCCATTCTCCAAGGCCTTCTCCTCCCTCCTTGGAGGTGTCAGCTCCCCATTCGACAGCACTTTCACTTCTCTCTCTGGGGACCCCAGGCCCCCGTTCTCTGCAGGCTTCTCCTCGATGTCCGGGGCTCTCTGGGCCCCGTTCCCCAACACTGTCACCCCGTTCACGGGTAGGCTTAGGCTTGGGGCTTTCTTCCCGCTGCCCAGGACTGGCAGGTCCCTGTTCAGGCCCAGGACTTTCTCTCTGTTCCCGGGGCCTCTCCCCGCCTTCCTGAGTCCTGTTTCCCGGGGTGTCGCCCCCTTGTCCCCTAGGAGGTTCCTTGTCACATCTTCTCGCAGGGACATCAGCAGCTGCTCGGTGCTCACTTGAACTACGAAGGTTGGCTTCTCCCGGGTCCCTGGGAGTAGGAGGGGACCCGGGTCTGGGGGTGGCCGGGGCGCTCCTGGGTCGGGTGGCTCGGGGGGAGCCCGAGGCCGAGGGACCCCTTCCTCCTCGGCTGCCTCCCCACCTGGGAAGGCTCCCTCGGGGGAAAAAGGGGTCTCGGTCTCGTAGCCGCTGTCCCCCGGCTTGGGGCCCGGAGACGACAGGCCTGAGCCTGGACTGGCCACGGCCGATGGGGGGTCGGGAGTCACGGCTGGTTCTGCGGATGCCCGGGGAGGTGGCGGTGGGGGCGGAGGAGCGGGAGGTGGTCCCCGCCCGGGGTACTGGGGTGCTGCGGCCCCCATGAGGGGGTCCAGAAACTCGGGGGGAGCTGATGCGGGGGGGGCCAAGGGCAAGTCGGCCAGGGAGCCCCGCTCTGCCCGCAGGGATGAGTCGTCCTCTGGGGGGTGGGGACAGCCAAGGGCAGGGTGGCCCCCCCAGCCGGCCACAGCGTCCCCCCGCTCCAGTGGCAGGCAGGAGCAGGGCCCCTCTCGGCTGCACAGGGGACAGGGCAGGGGCCCCCGGTGGCTGGGCCCTACCCCGAGGCTGCTGCTGTCCTCCCCTGGGGAGCTGCCCTCTTCCTCCTCCTCTTCTTCGGCCCACGGAGCAGTACCCCGCTCCCCCAGAACCTCGGCGGGGTCTCCTGCCAGGGTCTCCCCAGCGCCCCGGCCCTCGGGGTCCCAGCCGCTCAGCAGGAAGCTGCCAGATGCTGAGGACTGGGCTGGGAAGGGCCGGGGCGCAGGGAAGAGGGGGGAGGCCCAGGTCTCGGACACCAGCTGAGGGACCTCGGAGGGGGCCTGGGGGGCTTGAGCAGCAGGCAGGCCTGGGTCCAGGGGGTCCCAGTCGTTGGGGAAGAGGGGCTCGGGCGGAGAGCCATGCTCCTCGAGGCGGATGTAGTACTCGCTGCTGACCGAGGGGCTGCGGGCGCTGATGACCGGCAGCACGCTGGGCGTGGACAGCGCCTCGTAGAAAGGGTTGGAGGGGTTGGCGTGGGGGGCTGGGGGCGCCGATGCTGGCTGCCAGGCAGGTGCCCCCCCACCCCGGCCGGCCCCACGCCGGGCCTTCTCCCAGAGGCACTCCAGGTTGAGGCCACGGCTGCTCTCGGTGACTGTGAGCACATCATCTGGGTCCGCCCCGGGGAAGCCATCCAGAAGGGGGAATGGAGAGGAGAGGGTCCCCGGGCGTGGCGCACTGTGTGATGGAGGCCAGGGCCAGGGGAAGGGACCATCTCGGGGTGGGGGCGGCGGGGGTGGGGGTCTGGGGGGCCGCTCCGAGAGCAGGTAGGTGAGCTGCAGTTGGAGGTCGGAGGCCGAGGGGCGCTGGGCCGGGGGCCGCCAGCAGGACTGCAGGATGTCATACCTGGGTGACGGGCAAGGCAAGAGTGAGCAGGACAGAGACACAGAGAGACAGAGAAGGACAGAAATCTAGAGGGGGGGCAACCCACTTTCCGGCCCCCCTTCTGTCTCTCTTAGACAGAAGCTATCTTTCAATAAGTTTTTCTTACGCTTAAAAAAAAGAAAAAAAGAGAAGAAATCTAGAGGTGGGACAGAGGCCCAGAGAGGGAGAGAGGGCTGGGGGCAGAGGGGCGGGAGACGCAGGTGAGATGGCTGTGAGTTCTGGGATCAGAGGAAGCAGCAGGACTCCACCACACTTCAGACCCCCGCTCTGCCACTGCCCGCCTCAGTTTCCCTCCTGCCAGTAGCAGATGCCGGCAGAGCAGGTGAGGATGACCTTTCTCTACTCTTGGGGAAACATGGAAGGGTGAGATAGACTGTGGGTGGTAGGGGGTCCTGGGGCTACTCTGGGGTGGGACAGGGAGGTCAGGGCCCCAGGGTCAGGGCCTGGCCCTCACCAGTAGTCCCCGTAGGGCAGCTTGAGCCTTGGCCGGGCCAGCTTGACGTGCTGCTGTCGGACAACAAAGGCAAGGACCTCCTCATCTGACAAGTGGCGGTAGGGCTGTGCCCCAAACTCAAACAGCTCCCACAGGGTCACCCCCAAAGACCTGCAAGGAACAGAGAGAAGAGGCCTCAGTGCAGCCCTGTCCTCCCAGGTGCCCCCCCCCCCAGTTTCCCCATGGCAGGCATCCGTGTCCTGGCCCTAGGTCCTGGGCCTCACCAGATGTTGCTCTCGCGGCTCTGGTCCACCACCATGAAGGTGCCGTGCAGCTCCCCGAGGAGCTCGGGCGCTGCCCAGCGCAGCGGGATCCACAGGCGCTCGGGGGTCAGGTAGTAATCCTCCTGGGGGGGGAGGGGGGGTCAGGCAGGCGAGGGCCCCACCCCCACCTCACCCCACCCGGTGGAGGGCGGCCCCACCTTATAGTTGCTGTGCGCCAGCCCATAGTCTCCGATGCGCACCGTGAGGTCAGAAGTCAGCAGGCAGTTACGCAGGGCCAGGTCACTGGGGCGGGGGGGGGG